ACAGCATCCTGTCAGCCTGTGGCTAGGGCACAGATCCACCAGGTCAGTTTTACCTTGCACAGCAAACCAAACCCAGAATCTTCCAGAAAGGGATTAAGCAACAGATCCCAGTTTGGCACTTTGCAAATGTAGGGCTTAAAATGTCAGTGTGCTTCACCTCTCACAGATCTCTCTCCCTCCCTCTATTGCAAATTCAGTTGCAGAAAATTTCCTGGCCCTCTCAGGTAGAAGTCGGTCAGAACACAGCTCTGTCCCAACTCTTTCACTTTTGGAAGCAGCACAACACTGCATCCATGTTCAGCAAGTCTATTTAATTGTGGCATTGTACTATGGCAAAGGCTACATGAAGGCTTACTTCAAAATTGCATTGTTTTTCCACCACAGCACTTCAGTGCACACATTAGAAGGAATTCTTCTCCTTGCCAAGAACCCCACAGACAGGGAGATACCTACACCTTTTGCATAAACCGCAATTTCTTAGGCTTACTGCTTCTTTCTTGTTTGAAGATGACCTGAAGCTGAACTGGTCCCTCAGATGTACATTTCCCAGGAAAGAGATGGAATTGTTATTAACCAGTAAGACAACTTCAGTACTGAATGACAGAATAGAAAAGTGGGTCTCCTTTCTAGGGAAATTTAAAGGAAACAGATGGCTATTTTCACACACATTCTGTAAAGTCAGAATACTGATGTCACAGGAGCTGTACCAGATTTCCTGGAAAAGGCAGGTTTGGAATGCAGAACTTAACATATACATTCTGAAAGAAACAGCCAAATGAAATCCTGACCTAAGCCAATAATTCCATCTGAACAAGCACAGTAGCAGGGCTGCTTTCACCCAAGAAGTTCCAGTAGGTGTGAGCATTTCACAGCACTGCAGCCAGGCAGTGCAATCTGGGGCTGGTGCGAGGAGCACTGCTCTATTCTGCCATGCCCCCGTGTGGCTGCTAACATCAGTTCAAAGCACAACCGTGCAGAATTCCAGAATCCCTCACAAGGAAGCACTCCCTGGGAGAAAAGTTACTTTTTCCTGATTGGTTTTAGTACGGCACAAGTTTAGGGTGATTTCCAGACCAGAAACAACAGGCAATACACTATCAGGTTTTCACTCCTGAGCACAACTCCTGCTCTGCACTCCATCTCCAGTTATTGATGCTGTGAAATTCCCTCAGTATTCCTCCAGAGTCATTGCACCTGCAGGTCAGTGCAAGCTGCTCAGTCTCACCTGGATGTGGCTTACCTGTTGTGGGGGCAGGAGGGATGAGAACATTGAACACACACACACACGTACGCACACATCCCTCCTCACCAATTTTCCTGTTCCAAAGGGAAACCCCAAACACTTTTGAAGGTTGAACTACTTAATCTTAGTTTGACAGAAAAAGCCTAAGGATTCCAAGTTCTTCTCTTTTTGCATTGGTGCATTTCATTCAGAGCTTTTTTTTGTAAAACATGAGCAGTTGCCAGGAATTACTTCTCAGCAGAGGCCTTTCATCAGGCACATTAGGAGAATTCAAGCACAGAAGGGACAGTGACACTGAATGTGAGAAGGAGAAGGCTCCTCAGGGATCTTCATGTGCAACAGACACTCTCACACACACTTCCTGCTTCCCCTTTCCATCCCCAAAAGGCTGCAAGACAATTCTCACCTGAGTTCTGGTCAATCCACTGCAGTGAATCCATGTGGGCATTCAAAATTTTACAGATCTGCTGAAGCTGAGCAGGAAGAGAAGGCACCAGTCAGTTGTTGCACTACATAAATGCTAACAGGAGTAAAAGACAGCCTGCCTGTTCCTTCCTGTGGAACATAATGCATTCAAGTTTTCTCACTGTACCCTAAGTTAGCAGCCACTTCCCCAGAGAAGTCTGTGCAGCAATCCTGCTTTGCTTCTTGCCATCAAGAAAACTGACCAGTTTAGGGTATATACCCGTGGCTTTGGCTTGTTCTACTTCAGGCCTAGAAACTACCAGAACATTCATTACTTTAGGTCTGAGTTGGCAAAACTAGAAAGGAATGTGAAAAACCTCAGTCTGCAACACTGAAGGGAAATATTTACCGAAAAAAAAGCTTTACAGAGATGTAAGTCAATAAGGAGTACAAGATCAGTGTAATATGTATCAGACAGAGACGGTGATTCAGTCCTTCTTTTCAGGAACATACAAAAACAGTATAAGGAAAAAGCAGAGTATCCACAAGTTAGAACTCTTTAAATATCCTTTGCCTCTTCGGCAATATGAAAAAAAACCCTTTCATTTACCGGGTCACTCGTGTCTGCTGGGCCTCCTGAAGTATTGAGGTGATCAATGATGTCCTTCAGATCCTGTGCCATGCACTTCAGCTGAGCATCAATGTTTTCAGCCAGTTTGTAGCTGCAGAACACATGGGAACCAAGGTCAGAGTGTTTCAAGGCAGCTTTGAAAATACGCACCCAGTAACACCAGCTATGGACATTCAGAAAAGGTTTCCATGTTGTGCAGCCAAGGCTGGCACACACGTGGGAGCAGCACCCTAAGACGCTCCATCACGCAAATGAAGTGACTCCTCACAACCTCTCTCTCTGCTCACTCTCTTGAACCAGACAAACACTGTCCCATATTACCCTGCTATGATGCATCACTTCAGGCCTACAAGGATGCTGGTGCCACACATAGTAGTGATGAGGGCAGAATGCACTATCACTAAAGAAACACTAGTTTTCAGGGATTAGGCCAAAATTAGTAACCTTTCCCAGATAGCTGATTACACCAACATCCCAAGAGCTATCACGCAGACTCAAGATCTTCCACACACAACTCCCCTCATTCTACTGTGTAAAATCTATGTGTCCAGTCACAAAACAGAATTAAATCACTGACAAAGGCCACTGATGGGTCAATGCTGTCATGCATCCCAGCTCTATTCCTTGCTGACTGATCAACACCACATCATTCTGCTCATCACACATCCCAAGCAGATCTCTTTCTTACGTCCTCTCCCGTTCCTCATCCGCATGCTGCAGGTAGATGGTTCCACTCTGCTCCTTCACAGACTCCTCCAGAGGGGTCAACAGGTCTTCAAGCTCCTTTTGCTGTGACAGAATGAAGTCGAGTTCCTGATCCAGTCTGAAAAGAGAAAATGCTAAGTGTTGCGGATGGGCGGGAGAAATGCACGACTCATCGTGAGTTTGGAAGCAGATCTCGTTTATTGTAAGCGATCGTCCATCTTTTATACCTTTGATGATTAACTTCATACATAGTGCAAAAGCAAGCTCATCATTGGCTGGTGTGATTAATGGTCAGCTACTTCCTTTGCAGCTTCTTAGATCTTGCGCAGCTGCTCTTACTCCCTTGTCCAACATCATGTTATTGACATAAAGTTGCTGACATGCTTATACCGTGTATGACACGCATATAACTATCAATCATTTACAATTGGCTAAGCTCTAAAGATAGTATTCAGGTACCCTCCCTACTTGCGGTTACAGCTGTGAGGATTCTCTCTTACTTTCCCAGGCTTTGCTGCATTCCTAGCTGTTTGTCTCAGACTTGTTTGTCTCACCCTCAAGGACAACTTGCCTCTGCCTTCTGCCAAGTTGAGTTACTCCCTATATATATAAGTTACAATCTCCAGAGCCTTGCTTGTACAGTGCGTTCCCAGGACTGTGTCCTTGCTCTCTTAGCCATTCTCCAACAATTCTCAGCAAGAGCTGCTAGCAGCTCTTGCTTTGACTCTCCCAGAGTCCTTTGCTCTGCAAGCTGAACCATACTTATGTGACCCTCAGCCCTAAGCCATTCCTCCACAGCTAACCACTCCCCTGACAGGCCATGGAC